GATTTAGCCCCCTGCAACTATTACCTGTTTACAAACCTGCAGAAATGATTCGGAGGAAAGAGATTCACCACTAGAGAGCAGCTCATCGCCGAAACAGAGGCTTATTTTGAAGGGTGGACATATCATATACATTATTCGGACGGCTTGAAAAAATTGGAGAATCGTTGGGTCAAGTGTATCGAGCTGAAAGAAGATTATATTGAGATATAAAAATGAATCGATAAAAAAAAACGTGTTTTACTATGTTTTTCCAAAAACTTATAGACTTACCCTTGTACTATATAGATATGCGTCTTCAATGAAGTTGTCATTTTATTAAGGAAATCCCCTTTCGTGGATTGAATTGTACAGACGGGGACACTAATGCCTTAACACTTGAAGTTACGCAGAGAAGAACGCGTTTCTCATTGGAACGCGCACTGAAGACGCATTTCTGATTGGAATATGCTCGATATACGTGCAACTTCGAGTGTTAAGGCATTAGTGTCCCCGTCTGTACGTGAGGATTAGTTTAAACGGCTTCGCTGGTTATCGACGCGTCTCAGGTTTCCGAGATTTTATTCCCGTCGTGGAGTAAAGTGATTTTAACGGGAACGGATATGTGAAGCGAGACCGACGCGGCGCGAGTATACGGGCACAGACGGGGAGAGCACGCGAGGAACGACGACACATGAATTTATTGTCACCGATTTAAAGGCCACCGTTGTCACGACGACCTCGCCGATCTGGCTCGTTTAAGGGCACGCGAACGAACAATGCGATCTCTTGAACCTTTAATAGGATGCGTTCGCTCCTAATAGGATGCTTCTCCGCGTTGACATTTTATTTCTGTTGTCCCGATGCCACCACGGTTACCGAACCCATCGCATTCCGCGATCTATAGTAACAGTAGCGATTGCCTCGATCGACGTCGATCCTATTGTATTTCACAGATCAAAGAAAAGTGAGATTTTCCCGTTCGAGGTTAATAGATTGCACGAATATAAGAATAAAATCGAATGCTCTTAAAAAAAATTAATATTTTACAAAAAAATGAATTTTTTTACAAAAACGAGGATAATTATTTTTCGTAGTTTTTTTAGCGCTGAGTATGTTTATAAAATTGTTTTTATCACGTCACAATTTCGAGAAATTTAGTTAAAGTTACAAAAAGAAATTATTTTAATGTATCAAAATACAAAAAAATAAATAAATACAAAATACGTAAATTCTACGTATAACTACGATATGTAGATGTGTTAGAGAAATATTTTTTTATTAAAATCAAAGTTAAGTATATTGTTAAGACTTTCATCCATTAAAAGCAATTTATTGTGCCGATAATGGTTAAAATGATATTTATAATTCACATAAGATTAATTGCGACAAACTTTAATATAATATAGCACTGAACAAATTAATCTTGCAATTATAGCGAGAATTATTTAGGTACGAAAAATTAGCTAAAACGGATAAGTAATTAGTAAGCACTGCGATACCATATATGTTTTGTATTTAATCAATATAGATAACAGAGACAGAAATTATATCTGAACTATTTGTCAAATTTAGCAAGAAAGTTTCTCTTTGACGTTTAATCAGTCCAGACTCCAATCATATTTGGTTATGAGACTTATATTTTCTTGCATATATTCTTAGAATATTGCTGCTATAAATTCTACGTATGACAGACAATTTTTTAGCAGATACAAAAAACAGCGACATAATTTAAGTGTAATATTTAGAATTCTAGCTGGAACAGCGAAACATTTCCCTGATTGAGACTTTAATATGCTAGACTCTATATTTCAATTATATAAATATATTTTTAATTACTATTAACATGATAATTCTTTTTAAGGATGAAAGTTAGCAACATATACACGGTCTGTCTCAAAAGTTTCCGAACTTTCATTAAAATTTACTCTGTAAGGTAATAATTATAAATGTTTATTTATAATCATTCGAAATGCATTCCCTTCGAAGAAAAACATTGTTTACAACAATCATTTAGCCTTTAGAAAACTCCGCTACAAGTCTTTTTCTTAAGGGGGTAGAACTTTGACCAGCCTGAAAAATAAAGATTTTTTTGCTTGGATTGCAGGAAAAGTATAAATACGATCCACTTGCAATTTGACACTTTATTAATACATATATTAAACTTGTTATGTTTCAAATTTTATTAAAAAATATTAACAAAAAATCGAAATAATTCTATAAATTAAAGTGTAGTCCCTATCGCGTGACCGACGCGATTTTGTTGATAACATTTTTAGTTTCCGAAATACAAGTACATTTATAATGTTAAAAAATGTGTTAAAAATTTAAACATGTTTATTTCCGTCAATTTTCAAAAAAATGAAATAAAGCTCGGTCACACGACAGGGAGTACATTTTAATTTATGAAACTATTTCGATTTTTTGTTTTAGAATAACTAAAATGGCGGAATCATGTAACTGTTTAAAAGTGCACGTTTTACGCGGATTGCTGTATTTCCTCGAGAGATTAATATTTTTCAATAAAATTTAACATAATAAGTTTAATATATGTATTAATAACATAATAACATGTATTAATAAAAATTTTAACATAATAAGTTTAATATATGTATTAATAAAGTGCCAAATTACAAGTGGATCGTATCTATACTTTTCCTGTAATCCAAGCTCAAAAAAACCTGTTTCTTCAGGCTGGTCAAAGTATCCCTTAAGTAATCGAAATGGCCTCGGTCGAAGTCTTCTGAATGTCCAAAATAGAATTGCTTTCCCTTCAGCTTCATTTTAGCTTCGAGAACAAAAAATAGTCACCTGGTGTCAAATCTGATGAATATGGGAGATAATCAAAGACTACGACTGATTTGAAAGTGAGAAATTTACGCACAGTGTACTTGTGAACCGGAGCATTGTCATGCAGAAGCGACCAGCTGCGCTCGGTTTGAGTACGAACTCAACCAGTTCTTGCCAACAAACGTTTTATTTCGCACAGAATTTAATATTTGCTCTTTGCTTTATCGTGGTTTTTCGACGTGTGTCACAAAGGTACTGCCGATTTTATATTTTTGGTAAAACAGTCGTTAGAGGGATCTTAATTCAACTTACTGAATTTGTGAATGAAATTTCAATGAAGATAGTACAATTTTATTTACATTGATGATGCCACTAATACCGTCCGTTACAAAGAAAATTCAGAAACTTTTGGGACAAACCGTGTATACTCTTGTTTGCAATAAAACTTTTCCAACGAGGCATATCGAAGTTTATAATAATACAAATAAAATAGTATATTTTTGCAATTCTAATTGCTCCAAAAAAAAATCAATATTGTCCTTTAGGTATGTATAAATAATGGGCAAATATTACTTCGCGAGCTGTGTATGTGTGTGTGTGTGTGTGGGGGGTGGGGG